GTTTACACTTTATGAGCCTATTCTACTTACTATAATTCTCGAATAATAAAATTCAATATATTTATGAACTAACTTCACTGGTTTTTAAATTTACACATTAGCAAAGACTGCATACTATATTACAAAAAAGGAGAATATTATAAATTGAATACTTCTGATTCATCAACATTAAATGAATAATAGACAAAAAAGATTGGACTAGTATTAGTTTAGCCACTAACTAATTAATCGAATTTTCCGAGGAAAACCAAACATTTAATGTGATTTTTCCCTAAACAAATGTTCGGAAATCGTTCTAACAATTAAATCAAGAAGTTCAACCTGAAATAAGAATGAAGTATGTACCTTTTTTATGAACGGATATGAGTTCTAAAGTTTTAAACAATCTATGGTGAAAATTCACGGTTCATTCACATTTAAATATTCAACTAAATGTCCCATCAACATGCCAAATATTATTTAAGACATGTTCCCAACATAAAAATAGATCCCCGATAAAACTACGTCAATCAGAAGTAGGACACGAAACTGAATGCGACAGAATCAAATTCGCTGGAAAAAGTTTTGGTTTTTATAAGGAAAAACTGACAGCTGAAACCCTAAAGATATGACCGAACCCAAAAAATGCAAGTAGAGGAAACGGGGTGCAATTAGACACAATGTGGAAACTAATGATTAGTAAGTGAATGTAAATAAAACCTACTCCTATACCACTGAACATAGCACGTCGAGGCAGTCGGTGGTTGGGCATACGTAACACGTGTCCCAGTCATCTCAACTGATGAAGTTTCACTACTTCATCAATGGATTTGCCATTCTTACCTAGTACCCGTTTTCTAACAACTGTGTTACTTACTCGGTGGTCCCAGGAAATACGAGCAATGTTTCGAAGACACCTATGATCAAATACTAGTAACCTAGAAATATCCTCTACTCTTACCGACCATGTTACACAGCCATAGAGTAGGACGGAACGAACCCTACGAACCCCTCACCTACATCATAAATGACGCAAGTCGGCAAAAGCTAGTCGAGCCTTCTGTATTCGTGCTGAGATTTCGTCACATACCAGGCCACAAGGGCTGATGAGACTTCCAAAATAAGCAAAGCGGTCGACATGCTCAACTACTTCACTCCCTATCATTAGTTCAGATGTCGGCGCAACCCAGTCCTGAAGCAACATTTTGCATTTCGAGGGGGAGAATCGCATCCCGAACATGCTTGCATAGTTGCTTATAGTGGTCAGAATACTGCATTTTGTCAGCGTCTTCACAAAATAGAACTATGTCATCGGCATATTCTAAGTCAACAAGTGGATCTCCCGGTAAAATTCCAACTCTTGGAAATTTGGATGAGGAAAGTGTTATCACTAAAAGCACGTCAACAACCGAGTTAAACAAGAATAGAGAGAGTGAACAGCCCTGACCAACACCACTTGAGGTAATCAACTCTGATGACAGTTCGCCATAAACCCTCACACTGCCAGTTGTGTTCGAGTAGAGAGTCTTTACAAGGTAATGTACTTCTTTGGTACTCTTTTCAGTGACAAACACTGCCATAGAACCTCACGATCAACATAGCCAAACGACTTTTATTCACCTGGTGATAGCTGTTTTCATTTCATAGTGTATTATAAACCGAAAATTCTTATAATTTATTCATCATGAAAAAAAGCAAAGACAAAAAAACCGAATTATTACATACCTCTTATAATTATGGTTCTTCCTTATTACCGCGCCGAATATTCTGTCTGTCGTAACGATACAGAATTATATGCATCTAGAATTATTTTAAGTATTAGCTATAAAGTCTGGTTTTTATTGTATCTCACCAATGATTAACTTATCAGCCTAACCAAATAATGGCACTGAAACAAGGGCAACAAAAAGAGCATGTGAAACAAACCTATTTCCGGGCGTTTTACTAATTGAATATGAATCATACAGGAATAAGTAGATTTGCTCAATTATTCATTGTTGTTATTGTATAATAAGCCCACCCAAGGCATAGTATCAATAATATAAAAAGTTAAACTACATACAAGAATATGGATTAAGTCAAGAAACAGATAAGAATGCCATAAGCACATACTATTAGTTACAAATCAATAGAGGAAAAACATCAGAGGTTAGCTACTTGCGTACAGTTTATATATCTCCTCTGTTGGAATAAGATAACGATGAGATAGGATTAAGAAAAACTGTGGTAACCTAACCAACCAAGGAAATGAGATGAGTCGTCTTTTAGATATGACTCACCAACTAGATGTGCATGCATCGTACACTTCCGGGACCTATAATGACCCTGGAATTCAACGTCTAACGCTCGTAACCAGTGCTATCGATCAGACTAATGAGTTAATGACAGGCGCTTCTGGTACATAAAAAACCAGTTGTTTCTAAAGTATCCAATCTCTAGTAATCAAGTCACAGGACTGAATTAATTAGCTGATAATGTTTCCTAGACTTTCTTGGAATCACGGTATAATCCAGAAATAAGAAAAGCAATTATTCTGGCGTCTATATTCCAAAAGTTGTTTTATGAAGTTCTATTGAAACTATGGAACATAAAAAGATTATTTGAATGGCTTTTATGAACATATTAGTTCTTGAGTCATCCTTAACACAATTTGGACCTCTAGTTTATGGAAAACTACAGAGAAACAATTTTCTCAAGATTTTCAACATCAAGCTGTCAGAATTAAGAGATAAAATGTCGGAAAATTTTGTTTATGATTATTTCCCGTCAATCATGAAGTTAAAAAGCTGATGACTACAGAAACGTCCATGAAAACTAACTTCAAGTATCAAATATTTCTGTGCGAATTAACAGCATCGTGAGAAATGAATCAAAACTCTCAAATTCATTAAAGCATTAAGAAACTGTATCTAAAGTTAATACATTAAGGCATTTGGAACACCTTATTTTTTCTGTCATAATCCTACTAATATTGCCTTGTCACTAAACTTCTGTTTCAATAAACCGGTCGATACCTAGGTGAGTTATTTCATTTTTTCGGGAAAGGGTTTAAAGAACAACCAGTAAAAGTCAAACAATATGGAATGTTGGGATCAACATTAAATGATCTGAAAGAAATTGCCAAACTTTTGGTCTACCTTTTAGTACACCGGGAACCCATAAACTAAGAGAGAAATGTACCATATGAGTTTTGGCTTTACTCTAAAAATCTTTAACTAATTATAATTGAATTATAGCCTCTAAAAGAAAATAGAAAAAGTCGAAAATAGTTTGCATTATTAAAAAGCTTCATCAGATAGGAAAGGTTTTTCTATAGGTGATTACTCATTTAATACTGCGTTAGATAACTTTAAGTTTTTTGGAAATATCCAAAAGTTACGAAGGTTTGGTTTTTAACTGCCTTTATTTGTAGAATACGCTATTCCATGAAAAACACATAAACAAAAAATTTACACTTTAAAGGTAAAAACAAAATAAGGACAGAGAGAATAGGAGATAATATGGAAGTTTATAAAAACGTCTTGAATATAAATCAGTCTATTTTCTACATCCCACTCACATCAACTCGATAGTTTCCAAAAAAGTCATAACACCTGAAGTGATGAAAATGTGTAAAATTTTACTTTTAAGGTCAGTAAATTAATTAATTTTAACACTGGGAAACTATACCAAATGTGTAGATAGATAGATAGAAATAGATATATCACATTGAAGGCGTTTTTGGAAGGAAACAATGTACACGTCAAGTTGACTGTTTCGTTTACATGACAACCTTAATTACTATAAGAATTATATAACGAGCTAACGACCTCATTTTTTCAATAAATCAGCAAGCAACATTGGTTTTTGATTTTTAAGAAATCATTGAAATAGAGGATGGACATTTTGTCCTGTCCGATTTTTTCATTAAGGCATACAACTAATGCACTACACTATGAACTCTAAGGCATTGTTTGCTAAACTAGTCACAACAATCTTATTGTTAAAAGGGTTATTAATTTCCACTAAGTTTTACGTTTTGATTAAATAATTATTGAAAAAAACACATACAGTAACCACTAGGGCACAGTGCTGTATATGCTGTGATTCAAAAAATGTTATACTTTTGAGATATCTACATTTTAACAAAATAGAAGTTTATGGTTACCACTACCAGAGGTGAATTTGTAGCTTGCTGGTTAAAGTGCTCGACTTTCAGACACTGGGTGACAGATTCGAGTTCAAGTGCACATACTTTATTTTAGGTAATAAAGTAATACCATTAGCGCTAATACAAAGTGTAACTGAGAACGTAATACATTATTTATCTCTAGTAACTAAGACTTTAAGAGGATTATGGGAGCTTAGGAAAATCATTCAGCTTGTGTATTGTAAGGTAACATCCTTGAACAAGCTACACACTTAGATGATAAAATATACCGAGAAAATAGTGTACAATACCTTATTTTACAGTGACTAATTTGTAAACAGTATCCAATAACCATAAAACTTTATAGTGATAAACATACGTAAAAACGAGTATGTTCTTGTATAAAGTGATTTGGACGACTTGCATTTTAATTTCAATAATCAGTTTTATGTGAAAGTGGTAATAGGAATAAATATGCGCATATATATTTATATATGCGCAATGAGAGAAACCTGATTAAGCCATTTTAATCAATACTGTACCCAGTTTATATTTACTATAGCAAAATAACCATTATTTGTGTAAATAAGAACTCTACATATTTCCCCTAAAAAGAAAACTGGAAATCGCAGTGACGAAAATGTAATCAAAAATTATGGAGATTCAGTATTCACGCAGTAATCACGGACATGAAACTCAAAATACTTCCTTAAGACTTTATCCCAATGGTACATAACTCCAAGTTGTTAGATTACTAGCTCAAGTCTTATTTTAGTTTTTCATGGACTGCTAACCCCAACACAATAGCTGACGTTACATAAGAGAGATGATTTTACTACTTCAAGATGTAGGTAAAAATCTAAACCTAAATTAACACAACCTCATTTATTTGGTATCTAATAATAATTGGCAGGCAAGATACAACTCCAGTAATACCTCAATAATAATGAGAAATTGAATAGGCCAACTCACTTTTTAAACTAACCACTGATACAAACAACCTTAGTAATGTATGATCAGAATGCACAGGAACAAGGAGGCTAAATCTAAGGATTTCATGCCGATCAAAAAGTACTCAGGCTAAAGACCCTATATTTACTGGTAAATATATGCTGAGAAATGGATAGAATATAAGTACACTAATGGCATTTCACGTTCCCTTTGTTGATTTGCATATAATTGTGCTAAATATCACAAAAATAACAAAATTATGACATTTTGATTTCATGTTCGGATTAGATTTGCATCAAAGCTAGTAATTTTTTACACATAATGTTCACTAAAGTTTATTTGTAAATGAAGATCCAATGTCTATAAGGAAGAAAATCTAATCCGATCATTACCAAGTGGTATGATAAAAAAAACACGTAATTTTAGTTATCAAAAAATAATCCAAGTTACTTGCCCAATGAAAAATAATACTGATTTATTTAAATCCTAGTATAGAGAGTTGGAACGGAATTAAGCAACCTTCAGTTTAAATTATTAGATCACATTATTATAAACTATAAGATGTATAGCCACATATCACGAAGAGAATTAGTATGTAAGTCGCAAAGCCACAAAAAACTTAACTTCGATAAAATACTTTGAAATGAAAGTAATAATTAATTTTATCGGATTCCGAATAGGGGGATAATCATACTGGACTGTAAAATCGAAGCGGCCCATGAAAACATTTGCTCGAATATATGATTTTATATGAATCCGTCAAAAAATAGTTCATTATTCACTTGAATTCGTATTCATCATAAATTTCATCGGTCGAGAACTTCTTTAAACTAGATCTAAAATAACCTAGATATGGGGTTTTGTCTCTTAAAATATCCGCTCGCTCTCTTCAGACAAGTGCCTTTTGGAGTGGTAGCTTATGGGCTAGCGCTTTCAGCTCTTAACCAATAGGTTGCACATTTAAACTCCGCTCTACTTATTTCAGTTTAGGCACCTGATTAGTACAGCTGGCTTCCATACAAACAGTATAGCTGGAAGCTAAATATGTAAACCCATAATTTGCATTAAAATATTTTGACGCTTATTCAGACAAATACATAAGAAACAAACGAAAAAATAAACTTCGATCTGCTAAAATAGAAACGCGAAATTTCTATAGAACTCACTTTTAATTTCGTGCACAAGTTACTATTGTTGCGCATCGGTACAACACTTGGTGTTCCACTATGTTGATTACAATGATCGATGACTTCCGTTTTGTGAATATTAAATACTGAACAACTTGCATACGCGGGTACAGTATCCTCTGAAGTGAACTTCTGTGGATTAATAGATTCGTCTAATTGGTTTGACGCATAACGATCTGGCAGCGACAGTAAATGTAAAGAGTTGCTTTGGTATGCAAGTTTCGGTGTACATAAATTTGAGTGACAAATCGGAGGTACTGGGAATGGTATATTTATTGAATCTGGCAATTTCGGTCTGCTAATTGGGTTACTTTGATTCGACATATTTTCTTCAGTTAATCCGTTTTGGCTTAAGATAGTTGCATTGCTACCGGATGTTGTAGTCATCTTCAATACACCTGAAGGCAAGTAACTAAGGTTATTAGAACACACAGAAGGATCACTGATAGCATACACCTCAACGTCTTCATTGCCGGTTAAGTACTCAAACAGCGGTGATGCTGCATGTGTACATCCTGTAGAAGTTGCTTCGTTTTTGCCAGAGGCCGAACGTAAAGTCATTAATTTGTGTTCAGAAACAGGTTTTTCACTATGTAACTTAGATTGAGATGGGTTCAAATGATGGAGTAGATGTCCCGTTTCCACCTCTTGTTGCTCACTACTCAGTAAGACGGTGCCCAAGTTTCTATCAACAATGGAGTGACTTTCTGACTTGTTTTTTTGGAAAGTTAACGAGGTACAGCACATTCCGAAACTTATTCCATGTAGAATATTTCTCCGAAAGGTTTTCTGATGCTGCGCATCTATGTTAGAACCATTAGCAAGGAAATACTTGGCTGAAGATTTTAAACACTGCTTTCTTGGAGTTTGACGGACGACAAAGTGAATAAATAAGCCAAACAAAATCCAGAAGACGACAAACCCAAAAAGTAGTATATAACCCCACACAGGGAAATCAAAATGTTCTAAATAATTCAATTCATAATCAGAAGACTTAATAGGATTATGCAACCCAGCGGCAATAGATCGAAGATGATATCCAGAACTACGTACTCCCTCTCCTTTGCAGTTTATCCCAGAAATATAAATGATATAATCGACGAACGGATTTAGGCCATGAATATTTTTTGAATGGATGTCTGCAGATACCTGAAAATCACAGAAGAACCACTTTCAACAACGAAGTTTTTTTTATTTATTTACCAAGATCATCGTCTAGAAGATATTATACTGAATAAAACCACTGATAATTGAATATCTATATTCCATAATTTTATATTCAACGCTACAGAAATTAAATAAGTAAAATCTAGTGCTATGTTACTTCATTCGAAGATGGAAAACAATTTTTTGCGGTCCCGGACTAAGCCACTTTGATAAGTAGTCCTTCACAAACCCAATCTCTGGTTAGTTAAGGAATACGAAATATAATCCTTCGGTCATGAAATTAAAACAGCACTGTTTACCCGAATTCGGGCTACTAATTAATATAATTGGCTATAACACAACAGATGTGAATATTACATTGACACGTGCACGATTATTGATAGGAATTCGACTTAAGTCTACCTGTGAAACTATACGGACACAGTGAGGTTACGTTAGCTTGCCTAAAATAAGTCGATATCTGGGAAATAAAAAGAAAGTATAAAAACAAGCCTGTCAGGTACTGAATATTATGGAATCAATTGGAAAACGCTATAGGACAGTGTATGAGGATTTTTCACCTAAGTTGATATGGATTTCAGTAATTAACAGATAAGTCTCAGTAAGACAATATTACAAAGCAAATTGATAAGGCATTATCTCAGTTCAATCTAATTACTGTGATTCATTCTGGTACTTTCATCTCATTATTATCGTGAGTCAAAACCTAAAAACATGTTTGTGTACTTTTTCGGGGGATATTTTTGTATAATGTAGTGGCTACTCAAAATGAATTAGTCAGGGCGTTTCCAGCTTGAAATCTAATAGTTTAAAATCAGATGTCTTAATCACTAAGCTACATATGCCGTGATCCCATAGTAGCATTCAAGATTAATAACTACCCTCATCCTGTGAAAATGCAAGTGAGACTTACAGTAACTAAAACACAAACAAGAGTTCAGGTCTCAGCATAAGTTACCCACAACATGTATAAAATATTTGTATATTTACTGTAACCAATAAATTGTGCAGTAATATCCAGTTACTATTTTTACTACGGTAAGTTACTTTTATCATGAGTAGTTACAAGTTTTTGGAAAAATTCCAAGTGAGAAATGTTTATATTAGACGCAAATTGTTAAATGTGTTAACGAAGATCACATCATAAACCTCAACTTCCCAAGATATCTAATAATTATACTGAACTTCTTTCCACTTAAACTTGCAGAATTTCCGGGATGAAAATAATATGAAAGAAAATTCAGTGGCCAGACTAATTTAGTTCCGTAATCTTTATGAATGATGGTACCTGTGATGGAAAGGACTGCAGACTTCCTGGGAAAGGATTGAAGACACTCTTGTGATGTGGTTCCAAAACAGTTAAGATTATGCGAACGAGTATAGAAAACCATATACAAGGTAAAAGTACTCAGAAAACACAAACGGTCCAAGTTGTAACCGTTAAAAGCAAAATTAAAAAATGATAATGAAGATTTGACTAGAAAATTCCTGAACATTGAAATACAAGACTAAGATCGTGCACAAATTTACCAGATAAAAAAGACTTACATGAAGAGAACGACTGAACTGACTTTTGTTCGCCAGGATATGTACTGCATATCCTAACAGTGCACCATGAGCCATTTTTAACTCAAGTGGTTTCCATGATAATCGAATACTTTCAGATGGATATGTGGAAGAGTTGATTTTCTGACCTCCTGTTATTTGTTCGGGATTTAACGGACTAATATGAAGAAGCCATTCGGCGCTTATTAATTCTGGCGAGGAGCTGGGTGGTGCATCGAGAGTCAAAGCCAATTCAGATCGACTAGATCTGCTTAGAATACGACCGTATGTTGGATCGTCCTTGAAGGCTTCAATATCCGTCTCATAGCAACTGAAAGGTGACAGATCACCGATAACAGCCTTAGCAACCGGCTGATCGCGAGATACAGTCTTCATGATGATTATGTTTTGAAATGAGTGATCTGAGGTCCCAACATATATTACATCTTTATCACTCACTGCATTAGCCATTAAAACTGTTTGTTCGAGAAGCTTAGGGGATGTGAAAGAACAGTGAACTGAACTAGTAAATGAAAAATCCTCATGATTAATATCATAAATATCCAACGATCCTGAATCTCCAATGTTTTCGCGAAAGGCAGACGAATAGCTTGGTGGTTTAGATGTAACAGCAGCTATGCAACGTGACATTGGAACTGATCGCACGTTTATTTTGAAACCATCAATACGCTTGAGCACTTCATTAGAAGACCGTGCAGCCCAGCTAACCAAAAGTTCGGAAGACGTGAGGGGTCGGATTGATATGCGATGTAAATCGATGGATTGGAATGTTGAAACCAGCTCCTGAAAATCAACAGCTGTTTGACCACCAGCAAAAAACGAATCAGGATGCTTGATTACCAAATCAGAAACTGTCCTATTACTTTTTGAAACATATGAAAATATAATTTCAGAAGGCTTTTTTACAGTATACACTATATAAGGTACTAGAGCTCCTGAACTCATTCCGAAACTATTAACTTTTCTAACTTCAACCCAGTATCCGGTATCAGGTAATAGGCCTGTTATACGGACTTGGGTATGGTAAGTTTTTTCAATTGCGGTGAACCAGGTATCCAGTTTAAAGGGTTTACTACTAGGCATCTGTGTTTCATCTGACTTCATATGATCACTCGTAGTCTTAGTGTGCTTTAGGTCCTGAAAATGTTGATCTGAGTGAACTGTTTTCTGAGAATGAATCTGCGGTAAAACGTAAACTTTATAGCTTGTTGACTCAGAAGAATTGTTGTCAGACCATTTTAAAACTACCCACGTGTCACCAACACTAACAATTCTTGCATTTTCTGGAGGTGAAGGTAACTGGGAATACGTACGAGGTTGATATATTGAATCATTATGCTCTTTTAAGCTTATAGTGAAAGAGTACTGTGCGAACCGATGGCTTACTTTTCGGTAGACGGAACAAGTGTAGTTCCCTGCATCATATGGTCGAAATGGATTAAATAGTAAAGAGCCATCTGCCTCGATTGAAATCCGAGAGTTCGATGAACTTGGTTTATGAATGAATTCACCATTGTTAAGCCATATTATGTCCGATTTTGCGCTAAGTTCGGGTTCTTTAGAAATAGATTGAGTTCCATGTGAATAATTGAATACAGGATCCAACGGAATGCCACAAAGTACTCGTACTGCTGTTGGACTGCGGAAACTTTTACCGAAAATATGAGGAGTTGAGACAGCACCCACACGACCTGGAATTAATTTGGGATTAAACAGAACTTGAATATCTGTCAGGCTCCTAGTAAAACCAGCAGGAGACGAAGCGCGGCATTCATACGTAGAAGCATCTTCCGGCCTGGCAGTAAGTATAATAAGAGTCCCAGAACTCGTGACGTAAATCCGCTCGGATACAGATACAGTTGGGATGAAATATGTTTTAGTTGACCACTGCAACCAACGAACATCTGGGGATGGGGAGCCTGTCACACTACAAAACAACTCAACCCGGTTGCCTTCATATGCGTATATTTTACTAGGAGGCGTGACAACCAAACCTGGAGGTGTAACAACATTTATGTAGGCGACTGCTTCAACAATCCCTGTCGAACTAACTGCCCGACAAATATAATATCCAGAGTCATCAGACTGAACACTTACAAAACGAAGTGTTCCACCTAGAAGCAGCCGAACACGTGAGTATGGAATACTGGGGACTGAAGGTTCTCTGCGCCAAACAACGACAGGGGAGGGCTCCCCAGCAGCACGACAACTCAGTTCAAATACACTATGCACTGGCACTGATTGACTTTTAGGTGAGACAATAAAGTATGGACGCTGCCGAACAGTAAGATAGGCCTTGGAACTTTCCCTGCGGTAAGCAAAAGATTTGGCTACGCAAGTATAGTAACCAGAGTCTTGCCACGTTATCCTATCGATCCTCAAATTTCCAACATCCATAATCTGTATTCGATTGTTGGGTAACAGAGAAGAGTTTTCCTTTAGCCACTCAATAGTAGGACTGGGTAGCCCAAAAGGAGGAATACATTCCAATAAAACTGTATCACCAATATTTGCCACTTTGCTTTGAGGCTCTAACTTAAACTTTTCGTTAAGGAATGAAATTCGGACACTTGCTTTCTTGGACTGAATCCAGTGAAGGGAATCCGATGCATTGCAGTAATAATCACCCTCATTTTCACTAACAAGAGTAAACCCATAGGAAGAATATACGCTATCTCCAGCCACTTTAGTGGAACCGCTTGCAAAAGAAATATTGTCTAGTTTATGCCATGTAATCGTGATATTTGGAGACCCTACAGCTGAACAAACAAGTGTGATTTGCTGGTTCTCTAGCCCATAACTATCATTTGGTTCATCAACAAATTCTATCTCGTGGCTTGGAATCGAAACAACTATAAGTATAACTAAAATTGATAAAAAACTAGTACCAGTATTCATACCACCTGATATTTGAACTGTGGTGCGCGACTCGATCAGTTGGTTGGAATGGCCGCTGGAGTAGATCCAACGATGAGATGCGTATAAATTATCTACACAATTAGATTCTCAATAATTTCAACTGTCAAATTAAGGGTAATGGTCAAACCAGCCAATAAATCGGTAATTTTAAATCGAAGTTAGCTCCTATCTCACAATGCTGTTACCGTATGTTACTGAACGTCCAACCAAACTGTGCGGTTTTGAAGCCAACCTTACACCGCGACACACTATAACAAAAGCGCCTCTCAATACATTAACAGTCTTTTATATAGTTGGAAGCTTTCATTAAGCGTCGTCTCTCATATTTACTTAAATTAGATTCCAAAGTTCTGTTGTTAACTATCGATTCTGCCAGATTATACCCACATCAAATTTTCTCATTTTTAGGGTCCAGAGAAAGTTAATTTAATTTCATAATCAAAGAGAAAAAAGATGTTTATATTATATTATTTGAGTGTCAGGGGTATTTTATCATTTTCACTTATACGCTCACTCGATTATATGCAAAAGATACTAAATGTCTTCCTACAAAAAATGTTTTTTCTCTTACTGTCTAAAACTTATTATGAATATGTTCAGTATGTACATCCAAAGACTTCAAGCTAAGAAGGGAAATTTCCGAGTGGCGCTGTAAATTCGCTGTTTATATCTATATACTGGCAGTAGTCAACGATCTAAGGGTTAGTTTGCTATTTCGACCTTGAAAGCCTTGTATAACAAAGTAAACATGGTAAGGAATGAGATAAGTCTTGAAATTAATGGTCTTTATTTGGCTGAACTGCGTTTACTTTTGCTGGCCTTTGTACAAAAGCTCTGGTTACTACTTACATGTTCGCCACAAACGAATTAGAGATAGTCTCAGTGTTACACGTGAATGATTATGATTTTCATTACTCAGCTATTTTCTTTGAATTCTCATAAGCAGTCTTGGTCACGTTATATAAGCTGGTCAGTGAACAACTGCCAATTTTTCGATATTGCTGCCGAAATTAAAATTGGAACTTTTAAGGATTCCGTTGAGTCTCAACAACATATCTGATTATTCACCGTTTCTTTACTGCTTGTATCAGTCAATTGTCTTGTTCTTAATCTCAACAAAATGTAGGGTGAACATTGATGATTGTAATCGTTTCGTAATTGAAAAACATTGCTCAGTTTCTTGAACGTCTGAGATAACATGTGGTAGGTTGACTTCGTGGTTATCTCGTCTCCAGTGATAAGGAACATGAGACAGATAGAGTGTTCGACCTCACAAACATGGGCGGATTGAAACCGATGTCCTCACTACCAATGTTTCCCGCTTATTAATTTCACCCTACTTCCACTACTAAGGCTAGGCTCTTTTTAAGTGTTAGTTTTAGTTATCTTAATTCAAGATATGTGCTTCCTATTTTGATAGAAAACACAGGCATACGAACGTCGCAGGAGATATTTCAAAAGACGACATCATTTATTAATATTAAACACTCACGAAGGTTCGTAGTACTTAATTGTAGAATACTTTACTGATCAGTTGGATTTATACCGTTAGTCTGTTGCTCCTACCAGTGAAGACTATCTTAGAGGAATGAGTGTTTATTACATTTCCAGATGTATGATCCGATAACCCACAATAACCCGGGGTAGAGTTTGCGACTAAAATGATCACCTGTAGTATTTGTTCTGACTAACGATTCTTTGGTAGTTGATTGACCACTGATTTTGAATTTTAAATCTAATACGTTCATTTACAACACCAAATAGTTCATTTCAGGTTCAAAAACGATTGTATGTCAGATCAATGGTGCTTCTCACGATTTTATTGTCGACACTGGCAGTATTAAACCCATTATTTTGGTTGCGGAGTCAAAGTCAACAAATCTCGATGCCGTAATTATGCCTACCAAAGTTTCCATCTCGAGTATCGCTGATCATAAACTTTCTATTGCTGGATGCTGTAATTTGTTAAGCATAGATGATAAATACTCAATTCCTAATTGTGGATTTATCATGACTGATTGTGAAACATTCATCCTGGGCCTAGAAAATTTAAGAATGCTTCACGGTCAGCTTTCCTTATTGACCACTGGAAATGGTCCTATTGAAATGCTTGACAACCTGTTAACTACGAGATTGAAGTGTGAAAAATTACACATGACTTCAAAGTCCCCTAATTCTTATGTGCAAGCAAGAAATTTCAAAACCTTGAAAACAAATGTCAATTCTATTACTGCTTTAAAGTTAAAACATCCGGAGAGGTTAGCATACAAAGTTCATCAGTTCAGAATTACTAGTCCCTACTCAAAAGAAGCAAGAATGAAATTGTTCGAACAAAAGAATGTTCGTAAGAGAACTGTTTTTCCACAATCTGTGGACAGTCTGTTGAAACCGGGCGATAAATTTGTGGTTGATATATTAGCAAGTTGCAACAAATGTATGGATTATAAGGAATCAGATGGGTCTGATACAATTTTGGTTGCCCATTCTAATGCTAATGAACATATCCTGAATCATACAGAATATACAATCCGAAATACACACGACGAACCTAAGGAAAAGAATTACAATCGATTCCAGAAATTTGGAATCTCATTTAAGCTGTGGTGGACGTGGTATTTGTAGTAACTTATGATTCTTTTGTACTTGATTGACCACTAATTTTGAACTCTAGATCTAATACGTTCATTTGTGTTTATCTAGTTCCACTTGCTGTAAAATGCACTATATTGGAAATTTCTAGTTACTACAATAATTCGAATAATTCTGATCATCAATTAACTATGGGCATGTTAGCAACATTCGCAATCTTGTTTCAGATAAGGCATCTTATATAAGATTAACTGTTCAATCCACGTGTTGCGAATGTCTAAACTGTGATTTCAACTAGTAGATTTCAATAGGCAATTTAACATCCAGTGAATTCGAAGTCACTCAAATTACACTTGTTTCAAACATATCTAAAGGTGACCCGACAATCCGTTACAGCCCATGAATATGCCAGTCGACTTGAGCAAAGAAATGAGATGAGTAATTTTGTCGACTTGCAAACTACACATTACTCCCCGAGGAAACTATCGCATGCGGATTAGTGAGAAAACATCTTGTCCCAAAGAATACGTATGACATCTTCATGGATTAGGTGTTAAAAGGAATATCACCTACTACTAAATGCTTACACAATGTGACAGGGCTTTAGTTTCGAGTAAGTGACGAAGTCAGCTCATCAGAGAATCCTAAGTCAGCAGTATCTAATTATAGCAGTTAGATCTTGGGAGTGAATGTTACCATAGCCTATATGGATAGATCGTTCAAGTGCTTGTAGTCAAGTAAACGAATTCCATGAACTTGGAGTATTGATGGGGAATTAGAGCCATTGTTCGTTGCTGTGATCAAAACTTGTTTTATTGAGATTAGATGTTGGTTGGAGGTAGTCAACAGGAAACCCTGGACCCGGGTTTCGTGCTACTTGGCACTCGTCAGCAAGGTGTACCTGTAATCTTGAAGGAACTGGTGCTCCCTGGCGGATTCGATCTCGTGTCACCCAGCTTCACAGTCAGAGACGTTACCACTGAGTTATCCGAGCCGTGACTTACCTCCTGTAGGACTGAGATTTAATCACAATTGATTGATCACTGGGTCCAGGGTTTCCTGTTGACTACCTCCAACCAACATCTAATCTCAATACATAGTGCCCGCAGTGTCGAGTCACCTAGACTGGTGGCCACATTGCAACATGATCGATAGCATTTGATCTGCACTAATAAGGACTAGACAAGCATGAGATTGATCACCACCCAGTGATCAGTCAATTGTGAAACTTGTTTTATCCATAACTTTGTCGTCAATACAGAATTATCGGGATACAACTACCTGAGAAGTGATTGGAATCGATTCAGGAAAAGGTCCGTGTATACGTAATTAGTAATATAAACACCCATCTCTTTGTTTGAGTCTCACAACAGTAAAACTTGTGAACTCAATTTTGAAGTTTGTACATTTTTGCTCGGTGTCATCTACTGCATCCCAACTTGATTATCTGACAGCACTTTAGAATATATTCAGCTTTGGAGTAAAACCAGCAAATGATTGATGTTAGTAGGTTTTAATGCACTGATACTAGTTGGAAAGAGATGACCACCATAGGAACTGAAAACTCCTTCGATGACGACGGTTTTGGAGGATGCTTAGGCACAGCCTGCATCCAAACTTTTACGTTTCAGTAGAAACCAAGGATCTTTGTTAAACTTAGTATTCACCTGTGAGATCGAGGACAATGCCTGTCCAAATGTTCTCCCACCGTCAACAAATAGTGATCATGCTGTTTTTCACTCATGTTTAGGGCTTGCGATATTATATACGGTCAGAACAGACCCCGACCAAATGTGTGAAATGCAAACATAACAGTTAGAGAGGAATGGACTACAAAAACTAATCAATCAGCTCATCAATAGAAAAAGCATGATCCGTATATAAAGTTACGCTTAGTTTATTCGAGTTGTCCTGCATCTACGATCCTGCTTAGTATCACATCTGGTGTACAATTAAGGGCTTATCGGTCTTGATGAATCTGTATGGTTCTTGGTGAGACTGTCTGACACCTCGAGGTGTCTAGTTGGAGTTATCTACAGGAAGTCCAATACTGATACTGAGTTTGTTAACCATATGCTGGAAGGATTATCCCCTCTACTTCTTTCTGATACACCTATATCCTGGTTCTAGGAGACTTTAATCTTCCTAAAGTCAACTTCTCTGAACATACATAACTTGAATGTGACAATCCTACTGAAGCTCGGCTCTCCAACCTCATTGAAGATCAGGCATTATTCAGGAGTGTGAACTCAGCAACTAGGTGGAGAAATAGAGGCCTTCACGCCTAAATTGAATATTAACAAACGAAAAATCCCTAACTGGCAACCTCTTACGCTTGGCTCCCCTGAGGGAAAGTGATCACCTCGTCAAAGCTCTCGACCTTACCGGCAAAAGAGTTAAAGTATCCTGCCAACAACAGGCACGGCAGTCGAAAACGGTTGAACGCGTCAGCCTTGCACAACAATCTACATCAGGTGGACTGGAAAGTTCACCTGCACATTGATGTGGACGCTCATTAGGATTTCTTACTGCACATGGTCTTATGTGCTACAGTACTGTCTGTTCCACAAATGGACTCCAAAAGCTAACAGCAGCCTACGGTTATCAAGAATCTCACTCTTCGTTT